GTGTTTGACATCTGCTTTTGTGATGATTAAAAGTTGTAGGTTTTGATTTCTGGATTTGTCTTTTATGGGATGGGTGCTTTGTATGAATGGTTTCTGTTTTTTGGAGAGTGTGGGGACTGTGTGTTACCTGTTTTCCTGACCTGTTCAGCTGGTATGTTCCCACGGAATGTCTACTATTGCTGGAAACTGGGTAACTGGGGTGAGTTGGAAGGAAGGTTATAGGAGTGTCTGCTAGAGTTGGAGACTGGGACAATGTAACCAGTGAGTGAGGTGAGGGAGATGAGGAGGGGATGATTTATGAGATCCTCAGGAGATGTGGGGAGGGATGGGGAAGGCTGCTGGAAGGCTAGGAATGACACTAGAGGACTGGGTCTTGGGGAACAGAAGGCATGGAGGTCTGCAGAGAGTCTACTTGGTTCTCTCCTCTTTGTTATTTTTTAATAGCTCAATTAGTTCGATTAGTTTTGTCTAGATTTTCATGGGAATAGGGCTCCTCAGTGGAGCATAGGCAACCTACCTCAGGATACATCCATAAAGAAAACTGACACTCTATCCTTTAGCAACCATCAGTTGCCAACAGCTCCTCAGCTAGGAGTCTCTCTTGTGAGTCTTTCTGAGTCTTTCTGGCATCTATACTGAAATATTGATTTAGGCCAACTTGATAGGACCTGTGTCCTATTTTTAATTGCCCTCATCTCCTGCCAAAGCCTTTATATTACTGTAACCTTTCATTCAAAAGCCATTCTGGTAGCCTTGCCCAGTTTGATCCAGTGCACATGGTAAAGTCAGGTTCTGTACCACCTTAGTTTTCTGGGATTGGTGACACTCAGTGTATCACTCATCATGCTGCATTTGTTCCTGGAAAACCAGTGTGAACTTCTCCCCAATGTCTCATCTCAAAGACTCAGGCCAGTTTTGTTCTTCCGTAAAACTCCAGAGAGAGAAGTTAATCACTGACAAATGGCCTAAACCTGTCTGTAGCTTGCCAGGGGTGACATCAAGTTTGAGGTTCCCAGTCCTCTTTCCAGGCCTTAATGTTAAAGGTTTGGAGTTTTAGCTTTTCCTCCTTATAGCCATTTAACTAAAACATTGTACATATTAAATTGATACTGTAGAATATTTCACTATTTGTATACATTGTATATAAAGTACATGCATATATACACTATACATACATAGTATACACGAAGTTTCACTAAATATTTTTTCCTAAAGCATTTATCATTTCTTTATAGTGAAAATATTAAGTTTTTCTTTTTGCATTTTGAAATTACAGAATATTATTGCTATCAGTATTTGCAAAATTTTAAGTATAATAGGATGAGGTTTTTGATTTCCAACTGTAGCTTATTACCCAGGGACCAACTTTTCTCAAACTCTTCCCTTACCCTACCCTTCTGATCCTCTAAGTCTCATCATTCTACTCTTAGTTTGTTGGATTCCAAGTATTTAACATTAGATATATAAGATCACATAGTAACCTGAAAGAACTATGCCCTATATCAGAGTCTCTTACTTTCAGGTCACCTTGCAGAAAAAAGTTCTCATGTACTTGTGAACACTGGGCATTGAGTGATGAGGTATCAGTCTCATAAACCCAACTCAGCCTTCTAGATCTGAAAGCAGACCCCTGACTGGGATCTTAGCAATTCCTTTTCTTGAGCAGCATTTGTCTCTTGGAAGACTTCTAGGAAATAGTACATTCCTCCATACCCTTGGTTATTTCCCCTCTGCAGGGGACAGACATACTCCAAAAATGATAGTCAAGACCAAGCTGAGGTAGTAAAATGAAATCCCAGGACAAGTGTTGTGTGGTGTTACACATAAAAAAAAATAGTGATCTATACCTATCACAGCTGTACAGGCATGGTCTCTTGGGTAATTTCTGTGTAAAGATAGTTACTTTCTATAGGAAAGCTTAAAGGTATGATTTATGAACCTCTAGTCTTTTGAGGTTTGTTTTTATTGAGCTTTAGGCAATTACACTGTCAAATAATCTTTATGATAGGTCTTGCTATGCATCCCAGGAGGTTCTGTAGGTTGACCTCAAATTCCCAATCCTCTTGCATCAGTCTCTCACTTTAATCGTACTTTACATTTATTTTGTATTTTCATTGCTAATCCCTTGTTCTCTGTATTGCAAAACAGTATTTTACATTGGAAATCAGATGTTTATCATCAGAAACAAATATCTGAAGTAATGGGTAGAAAATGAATCACAGATACAAGGCCTGCTTCTTTCTTGGAATGATACCATGCTATTTACTTCTGAGTAATTCAGCTCAGATGATTAGTATAGCTGTGCACTGTACTATTCTTGATAACTTGAGAAACTGCAAGATCTTTGACTGCATTTTGAATCTGATAAAGGTCAAATGGCACAGTGTAAGGCTGAGACTGTGTCTTTAAACAAATGGTAGTTTTCATTACATTTATTTTAGTTTTTGTCTGTATGAATGTTTTGCCTGCATGTATATCTGTGGATCATGTGCATGCAGTGCCCATAAAAGCCAGAAGGAATTGGATCGTATAGAATTGGAATTACAGATGGTTTAGCCACCATGTAGGTACTGGGAATCCAACCTGGGTCCTCTGGAACAGCAGCCAGTGTTCTTATCCACTGAGCCATCTCTTCAGCCCTGCTGAAATTATTTAGACTGAGGATGATAATTTGATATGGGATTCCCCTTTGTATGCTTTGAATACCATTTGTTAATAAAGAAACTGCTTTGAGCCTAAAGCAGAGCAGGGCAGAACATAACTATGTGGGGAAAAATAAACTGAATCCTGGGAAAAAGAAGGCAGAGTCAGGGAGATACCATGTAGCCCCACCAGGGACAGATGCCGGAAGGAACATTTACTCAGTAAGCCACAGCTATATGGCAATACATATGAATAGAAATGGGTTTAATTAATATAAGAGTTAGCCAATAAGAAGCTAGAGCTAATCGACCAAGCAGTGATTTAATTAATACAGTTTCTTTGTAGTTATTTTGGGGCTGAGCAGCCAGGAACAAAGAAGTAGTCTCCTAGAACAGTAATTTATTAAAGTTCCCTATTAATGGAACATACTCTGACTTTATCTGTGTATACTGATTGTGCATTCAGTGACTTCTTAGTACCTCTTCACAAGTATCACATTGATTTTTTTCATAAAGTTCTCTAAATATTGTTATATACAACTTGTGTACTCTCTTTACCTGCACTGGGGCAATGAGCTGACAGTCCATTCTTGCCCCAAGTGGAGATTTCTTTGTGGCACTGTTAAATTCCAAAAAAAAAATTTAATATTTGTTTCCTTATTCAGACCTAGTCTGTCTACTCTCAGAAATAGCATATGAATCTGGTCCTTACCACTCCTGCAACTTATCCAGGATGTTGGGAATCTCCAGCTCAGGTCCTATTCCAAACGCAGTCCAGATATCTGCCTGTTATCCCAGCCCCACCTCTCTCTGACCAGACCCCACCCTCAGAAAGCCTGCCATTGGCAGTTCCTCCCCTGGAGCTTCTCAAAAACTGCACCTACAGGGTATTTAAGGCCCCCTTATTGGTGCAGCACTGTGATTTCTCTCCTGCTTTCTTCCTTCCACCAGAGTAACCTGGAAGTTCCTTTGCTCAGATTAAACCTGATCTTATTAATTTGGCTTGATTTGGTATATTGCATGGGTGAAAAAACCCACTACTGTGGATTTCAAAATATTTACCATAGGCTACTACACAACCACACTTAAATTACTTGCCATTGATGAAACTCAGTCACCAAATGTTTTGTAATAGAGTTTGTGAAACTCTAAAGGAGGGCTCAATATTTTGGCAGTAAAAATATTTAAAAGCATAATTTGGATAATCACCTATTGAGTCTGGTAGTCCTTGACTGAAAACACAAACTTTGTCTACCAACAGAGAACAACCCCATAATCAGATTAAATATTCCTCAATTATTAAATCCTAGCAAATCATTGAGCAACATTTTCATTCATTTATACCCTTTGAATTGCCTATTTTAATATATTCCAGAGTGATCTACAGTTAGCTATCAAGAAAATGTCCTGTTCCTATTGTGTTTCTATTTGCCCTTTATATCTTACCTAATATATTATCCACTTTCTTAAATATTGCTGCTCCTAGACTCTGATAACCTCATTGTCAGTAGACTACACCATGTTTTCCTTACTAGATCCAGTGCTATTGAAGGGAAGAGGGGAAATTACAGAGAACCAATGCTTAATTGAAAATTGAAGGAAATAAGCCAGGCAGGTAGTGATGATACATGCTGTAATGATTGTTCTTTCTCATTAAGAGACAAGCCACGCCCACTTCCTCCCCCATCCACTGAGGCAGGCTGAGCTGTCTCTTTTCTATCTTTCTCTCAGAGAGGCAACTTCTGCATCTTTTCCACACTTCTCCCTTTCCCCCACTTCTTTCTGTCTCTTCTCTTTCCAGTCTTCCTCTCAGAGAGACAGCTTCATTCTCTCCTCTCTCTCTCTCTCTCTCTCTCTCTCTCTCTCTCTCTTTCTCTGTCTCTCTCCCCCTCCCCCTTTCTGTGCTTCTCCCTTCCCTTTGATAACCCCTAAATAAATGTCCAACTCCACTCTGTATGGTGTGCCTATCCGTCTCTCTCTTGCTCACCCTCCACCGCCATATGGAGACCTGGAGACCTACCGCCTATTCTCATATGCAGTCCCTGCCTGGAACTGGCTGCTTATGGCAACAAGCTGCCAGGGACCTGCAGCAAACCTTTAATCCTAGCACTTGGGAGACAGAGTCAGGCGGATGTCTGAGTTTGAAGCCAGCCTGGTCTACAGAGTGAGTTCTATGATAGCCAGAGCTGTAGAAAATTAAAAAATTCAAAAAATAAATACTTGAATATAGTAATAGATGTTTACAATTTACATTTTAATGAATCTGAGTAAAGTCATCAAATACAACTTTATTTTACTTAGCATTAACAAGAAAGTAAAAAAGTATATTGCTAACAAATTGCAATCGAATATGAGATTTTCAAAAATAACAGTAAAATACTTGCCACTTTACTTTCACCATCATATGACATCACATTTCCATGCAAATCCTCTTTCCAATGCAATGTTATATAACATTTTAATAACGTAAGGTTTTCCAATTTGTTGAAAGTAACAAAACTCTGAGTCCTAAATTTACAAGTGACTAACCATTTTAAGCAGCTAACATAAGCATGGCACAAATCACTGATTAATTAGACATTTACAAAGTAAGAAATATCTATATTTTACTAATGTATAGAAGGTCAAGAATGTATACATTTTGGTTCTGGTATTCTATGAACTCTCCACTAATAAGGAGCTGACTGCTTTTCATACATAATATGGAAACCATAGAACTGACTCAACTACTTGTGGGATTGAGTCTTGGAATGAATCCTGGCTTTGACAACAGTGCCAGCCCTACCTTGACCTCTCCTTCTTATTCCCCCTGCCTGATCTCTAAGAGCCAACTGGTAGAGATTGGGGAAGGCACTAGGGACAGTGCCATTGACCTTAGCTAAAACTTCCAGAACTTTCATCTTGGTGGTTTCAGCATAGGCTCTGGGTCCCCACAGGAACTCATAGCATGGAGGATCACTGCCAGGAATCTGGCGGTACTCCAGGTAATTTTCTTGCACTAGATCTTTGTTTATGAACTCTTGGGGCTCCCCAAAGATTAAGTGCTTCTTCCCAGCATATACCCCTACTCCATTCAGAAACTGCCAGACCTCTTGTTCAGTGGCACGATTGCCCTTCATGAAGATCACACCCAGGACAGACATCAGGAGACCGGTCCTGGGCAACCCCCAATTGCTACTCAGACTTCCCTCAGTGGAGAGACCCAGTTTACCCACAAGCATATAGGAATGAGTGCTGGGATCTATTTCCTTCAACTCAAGACCAAAGACTAGCTCTAGGCGTGCAGAGGTTCTACGGAGGATCTCAGGGAACTGTTCCTTATACTTCTTGTTTACTATTGCCAGCATTTCACTCCGTGTAACTGCCTCTTTGATCTTAAACTTATCCAGCAGGAATTCTATTAGCATGCTAGCCTTCCGCATGATAGGATCTCTAAGTGTGTGCTGAATAGAGGTCACTGTCTGAATAGCACCTGAACTTTGCTTATCAGCAAGAACAACAGCATTCCTAACACCTACACCAGAGCCTGTACAGGACACATCTGCCCTGAGAGATTCAGGGGGTTTTAGCCCCTGTAGAGCACAAACATCAGGGGAACTGGAACCATCACTCTGGTCAGCAGGAGGACATGCAGCTTCCTTTTCAGTGTGAACTGCTGGGATACTCTGGAGCTCACTGCGTGCCTGTTGTCGTTTTGCTCGGGAGCGGCTCTTACTCTTTTGACCCCTAGGCATGATGACTGGGCTCAGGGATGAAGCAGGAGATCTGACAAGGCAGGAATCTGGAAGGGGGACAATGAAAATCTGTAAGCACAACATTGTTACCAGATAAAGAATACCTGGGATTTAACAAAGACTTGCTTTTGCAGCTTTCCAGAACGACATCTTTCTTGGAACATACCAGGGCTCCTGAACTCGTGGATCAGTCTCTCTTCTGCAAACCCTGTGGAGGAAATTAAAACTTGTTAGACCACTGCATGAAAATCTAGTCTCAGGCTTCCAAAAGTAGGTCAGGCCTTTCACTAGGGTCCCTTAGGATCAAGACTCAAGAGTTCCCTTACTTTACATTCAAAATCAGTCATATCTATTATTGGCAAAGACATTTATACCCACTTCCTTCTTTTCTTCTCAAACTAACATTCCAAACTCCCTCAGTATCACTCAGGTAGAAATTTAATCTGCCTTTCTTCCCACTTCATCATTCAAATAGCAATGGGGACTCAGTACTAGCAAAAATGGAAATACAATTTTGCTCTTAAAAGGAGTGTTGTTTCCATGATGATTAAAGTCTTCATCCTGACTTTATCTGACTGGGATAGGATGTCTAGGATATTGTGGTAATAAGGAAGCTCTTACTGTCTCACTTTCTTAAGGGAAAGTGAAGGAGAACTTCAGTCTTTGGTCCTTATTAGACCCACTTAGGCCACTATACAGGGGTGGAGTTCCATGGTTATGCAAACCCACTTAGGCTACCATCCAAGAAGAGACCTATGGGCATACGTATTACCCACATAGATCCCCATACAGTGGCAGAGATCTGTGTAAATGGGCCCCCTTAGGCCACTATAAAGCGGCCCATTACAGCCACCATGCATGTGCAACCCCATTTAGGCCAGGACACAGCATCAGCTGTCTGTGTATATCCACCATGCCACCAGGCCCAGAGCATGGAATTTTAAAGATGGATTTCTTTCTAGCCCCTTAAAGTTCAGTATTTTTGTTTTCGCTAAATCTAGCAGCCCCCTGCCAGGGCCTTCAACAATGAGACCAGTAGAAAAGGAAACAGGCTCTGGGTAAAACTGCCGTGTCCATCCAAAAACTCTAGAGATGCACACAGGCCCCAGGCCGAAAGGGGCTTTTCCGGTTAAAAGGTTCAAAGGGACAAGGAGGGGAGGCAGAGTTAAAATTTCTGACAATTTTAAAACACATTACCCACTCCAAACCCAGAATTACCGAGAATAGATCCCTACGATGACTAGACACTCAGCTTCTCTCAACAGGACTCTGCAGGGAAAAGAAGTAATCAACTCCTGGCCCCTTCCTTTCTGTGCCCTGGACTCTGAACAGAGCCCGGAAGGGAGGTCATCCTCAACTTCCGGACCCTACCCTTCTCTTAACGTGGACTTCTGAACAGATCCCGGAAATGAGGTCATCCTCAACTTCTGGCCCCTCCCCTTCTGTTCCCTAAACCCTGAACAGAGCCTGGAAGGGAGGTCATCCTCAACTTCCGGCCCCTCCTCTTCTGTTACTGTGGACTTCTGAGTAGAGCCCTGAATGGATTACCTCAACCTCCGGACCCTCCCGGTTCTGTTCCCTGGACTCTGAACAGATCCTGGAAGTGAGGTCAATCTCAACTTCTGGCCCCTCCTGCTCTGTTCCCGTGGAATTCTGAACAGAGTCTGTAAGTGAGGTCACCTCAACTTCCGGTCCCTGCCATTTTGCTCCCTGGACTCTGAACAGATCCCAGAAGTAAGGTCATCCTCAACTTCCGGCCCCTCCCCTTCTGTTCCAGTGGACTTCTGAACAGATCCTGGAAGTGAGGTCATCCTCAACTTCCAG